AGTTTGTATTGCTGATTATTGTTAAAAGTATCACTTCAGGATTGGCAACCAATTGCAAAGATGTATCCTTATCCAGTTAGGGTACCAGCCTGAGTCTTAAAAATAAAACTTGTACTTGAACGTAAACCCCCAGTTAAGTGGGCCTTAAATCTTCACTTTTAGATTTGGAACCATTTTTCATGTTGGTGAAATCCAAAGAATGAAGAAGTTGATTTCCTGTTTCAAGATTGGAAAAAAACATAAGGATAGGTACACACACATACATTACTATAATAGGGTACTATCATACTATACTATATATAGAAATATATTGCACTGCTTTTATGTATTATACTATTTAGGTATATTGTCATATGTGACATATCTAATAGTATAAATTGTGTTGGAGGGGGAGAGGAGGTGACTGTTTCATATTTCTTTTTGAAGTTTGTCATAGCAAAGCTGAAAATTTTGGAGAGCAAGTATGACAGACTCCCAAGAATTATACAGTTTTATTTTAAGCTTTCAATAGTGGTGGTGTTTCATTCAGCCTGTGACAGGAAAAGTGAGTAATAGATGACTCGTGTGTTTTGTCTGCTGTAGCAATACCCTTTATCAGTGAATCTGTCTAACCAGCCAGTTATATTCCTATTGTCTGAAATTAAAGACCATGATGTTTTCTGACATTGTAGAAATTTCTGTTCAGTTAAAATATATGTTGTCAGTGAAGTGAAAATAATGAAATTGCAAGAAGTTGATTGATTTTAGCTGTATTACTGAATTCCTCCCTTCAGAAGTCAAATCTGGATCACTTAAAATTTCTTACAAAATAGCTGATACACCATTAAAGTATTAAAATTCAGCCTTAACAGTTTTTAGTGTTTAATAGGGATTTGGTCTCTAAGTTTGACTTGAGACGTAAACAGTAGTGGTAGCATATCTAGTCGCTCATTTTGTGGTAGCCAGCCTTCAAGATGGCCCCCAATGGTCCCACCTGCTGATATTCACACCTTTGTGTAGGCCATTCCCACATTTGCCAGGGTTGGTCTGTGTCACCAATAGAATACATCAGAAGTGATGGTATGTCACTTCTGAAATTAAGTTATAAAAGACACTGGGATGCCCATCTTGGTGTCAGTCTCTCTCTCTGCCTCTCCCTCCCTCTCACTCACTCCCCCATCCCTCTCTCTTCCTGTCTCCCACCCTCTCCTCTCTCTCTCTCTCTCTCTCTCTCTTTCTCTCCTTCTGTCATGTCACCTGCTCTGTGGGAAGCCAGCACAAGCAAGGAACCAAAGCCTATGCCAGCATCCCAGTAAGCTGGGAGATGGATGCACCAGCCCCAGTTGTGTCTTCAGATAACCGCAGCCCTGGCCAAGGGCTCCGCTTCAGCCTCATAAAACAGAGTCAGAACCACCCAGTTCAACACCGCCCAGATTCCTGACCCTCAGAAACTGTTTGAGATAAGGAAGGGTTTACTATATGAGCTGCTGTATTTGGGAGTGACTTTTTATATAGGACTAGATAACCAATACACACCTCCACGAATGTTCTTTTCATTCTTCAGTTCTTAACGTCTATTTTTGTTGTCCTTATTTGTTCTGTGAAACCTGTTATCCATACAGTCCACCCAATTGAGGCATTAAGTTGGTTGAAAAATACCATATTCCTTCTCCCATTTTCCAGTTCAGTGTTTGGTTATAGTAAATGCAGACTTTGAATTCACTTTCCCCATGTCTGGGCCCATGTTTGAATGTACTTTAAAGAATTGTTTTGTGACAAGGAGCCTTTTTTAGATTATTCCACAGATTCTTTTCATTTATGTGCAAAACCACCAATTTTGTATAACTTGCAATTACTATGCAAGTGATTATGGAATTACTATGAAGTACTTCAAGAGAAAACAGACAGCTTAACAACTGTTCTCAGAGAAGTCTGAGACCTCACCAAAGAAGCTCATCTATTACTCGTAACTCAGTGATGGTTATTAATTATACAGGATAATAACAGTGTGAGTTTTAAAAAGTCATGTTTTTAAGTATTAGTTAACTATATACTTCAGCCTGAGAGACAGCTTCTCAGCAGATCTGTCAAGGTCACGAATTACACTCCCAGCTCCTGCTGTCCCATCCCACTTCCCCCTTGCTGTTCTGAAAAGAAAGCTGTAGAAATATTCAGGTTTCCGTGTTCCTTTCTGCCCTACCAAACCAATTTCAGTACTGAGAATCATTCCTTTACCATTGCTAATCAGACCAGAATGGTAATCATGAATAAAACAATGTGACAGTAAGAAAAATAGAATTTCAACTTTTCAAAGAGTCTTTTTTCCTCTTGCTTCCTTTGTCTAAGCATTTTTCTGAACATGGATTTGCCTTTAGGACGTAAATAGCTACGGACAGTTTCTTTCATCACGTCCTGGGTTGTCAATCTCGAGTTTTTATACCTGAACTTAAAGAAACAGATGTTCTTGGTGAAAGGAAAATATTGATGAGTCCCTGTTGTCTGACACTATTCCTTTTAAAAGTCTAACTCAAAACTAGCTTTTTCTGTTTTACTCCTGCCATGATTTTAAAAAACAATAAAAATAGCCAATTCAGGAATTTGTCTTGTGTTTCTCTATCCTAAAATGGAATAGAGACTATTTTGAAATTTTACTGAGGATTTTCTTTTTAATTGGGAGCTGAGAAAATAGGAGTCTGTCTTGGATTCTGTCTTTCACATCCTTACCTCTTTAATTCTCATGCTTACACAGATACACATAGACACACACGTACACACACACTTGTAGTAAGGTCATAAAGATGGTTATCTTAAGATGGTAACTTAAAGGAACAAATCGATTTGGTTCTTCATAATTCCAGTATACCAACACCCCAATAATGTCATCATTTAAAATGGTTATAGAGGGACACATGGGTGGCTCAGTGGGTTAAAGCCTCTGCCTTTGGCTCAGGTCATGATCTCAAGGTCCTGGGATCGAGCCCTGCATCTGCTCAGCAGGGAGCCTGCTTCCTCCCTCTCTCTGCCTGCCTCTCTGCCTACTCTGATCTCTGTCTGTCAAATAAATAAGTAAAATCTTTTTTTAAAAAATGGTTGTAGTTAAGGGCACCTTGCTGGCTCAGTCGAAGGAACTGCACTCTTGATCTCAGAGTCATGAGTTCGAGCCCCATGTTGGGTGTAGTTAAAAAAAATAAAATCTTAAAAAATTTTTTAATCATTGTAGTTAAGCCAGAAGTAAAACCCCAGGGCTTCTAACTCTGCTTTGAATATTTGCCAATTGACACCAACATATATTTATAGCATAAAGCTAAGTGATTCCTAGGTCTTGAAATTGGACAGTCTAATGAAGGAAGCATCGTGTTTTCAGGACTGAAACATACTTCTGTGTTAAAGCCCATGTTTGCTTTATTGTCTTGAGAGGTTTTTCTGTTTTTGTTTTTGCTTTGTTTTTTAAGCATAGCCATTGAATTATAAATTTCCCTTTCTTTTCAAATGGGTTCCTCTTTTTGGATGATGAATACTTAGCACCCCCAACCAAAAAAAAAAAAAAAAAGAAGAAGAAGAAAAAGAAAACCTAGCTTTTGATGAAATACTTTTTAAAAAATTGATAAATGACAGTAGTTTCCATGACTAGATTTCATATCAAAGTGTAAATCATACAGTACTTTGCTGTGGTTTTTGAGAAAGTTTCTTCAATGCTGTATTAACACTTCATTTTTTTTTTTATCATAAAATGTCTCAGGAACCTTTGTAATGTCTGTGTAGTAAAGTACTTGTTACTGTCACCTTGTTCGCCTGCATGTAATATATGATGTTCTTACAAAGTAGTACTTCAAGTCCTTCCTAGCAGATCTGAAAGAATAGGGAAGTCAAAGAATATCTTTCCACTCCCTTCCTGATCCTTGCATCCAGTGTGGCCCCAAGCCCTAAAGCAGACTCTGATACCAGCCTGCATTCCCTGCTCACCTTCTGTCTCATCCCTGAAGCCCACAAAGCCCTGAAAGGGACAGAAAGATGGCAAGTAGCAGCAAACAGACTAAAAGAAGGGGTGAAATTTGGAAGCCGGTAGAAGGGATTTTGTCTGCACCTCTGGCTGTGAGTGTCCTGGTCTTCTTGACGCACCAATAACTGAGTGACTTTCTGCATGTTCAGATCACAAATAGTCGTAGAATATAACATGAAAACACATTTAGCATTCTTTACTTATATACAACTGCCTTGTTACATCCCTAAATATGTAAACTGTAAAATTCTCATGTTTACCATATTTTAGAAATGCAAATGCCATAACAGAAGGAAAGGATAAGGTATTCCTGCTGGCAGTCACAAGCGTTCATAAGCAGAGGCAGTAAGCATGGTGCTTAAAGACAAAGATATAGAGCCTGACTGCCTGGTTTTAAATCCTGGTTCTGACCACCTGTTACTTGACCACTTTATCATAGTTTTCTCATCTGCAAGTTGAGCATGATAGCACTACCTTAGAGGCTTATAAAATTTAAGTAAGTTAGGGGCACCTGGGTGGCTCAGTGGGTTAAGTCTCTGCCTTCAGTTCAGGTCATGATCCTGGTGTCTTGGTATCATGCCCCACTTCGGGCTCTCTGCTCGGCAGGGAGCCTGTTTCCCCACCGTGCCCCCTCTGCCTGCCTCTCTGCCTACTTGTGATCTCTGTCAAATAAATAAATAAAATCTTTAAAATAAGAAGAAAAAAAAAAGTTATATCCTAAAGATATAACCACATAAAGAACCTAAAAAAAATTTTAAGTAAGTCAATGTGAATATAAATGCTTGTAACAGTGTTTACTACATAGTTGGCTCTACCTAAGACTTTGTCCTCATTGATGTTACTATACTGTGCCCCCTTTCTGGCGTTGCTTCTACATTAAGACGGCCTGATCACCAGTCAGATTTGTAGTCGGCACATTCCGTTCACACTCACACTGCCGTCTTTACCATATAACTCCTAGCAAAGCCCCGGCCACAGTAGTTTTAAAGAGCAAAATGCTCATTTTTTCCCTCTTTCCCAGGCCCAACACAGAGATACTTTCATTGAAGAACGCTACGGGAAATATAACATCAGTGATCCTTTAATGGCTCTGCAGAGAGACTTCGAGACATTGAAGGAGAAGAACGATGGCGACAAGCAACCGGTCTGCACAAACCCACTCTCCGTCCTGAAGGTGGTGATGAAGCAGTGTAAGAACATGCAGGAGCGCATGCTGTCGCAGCTGGCGGCCGCCGAGAGCAGGCACCGCAAAGTACGTTCACCCACCGGACTCGTGCCGCGTGGACCCGCACGGACACCTGCTGGGCAACGCCCCATCCCGTTCCCACAGTACTTCAGTCAGGGGGTCTCCTAGAGCCAAGAGTTCAGGAAGAAAACGCGAGTTATGCAGGATGTTAAATTTAGGGACTATGCCAGGCATGTTATTTAAGACGGCATTCCTTCCTGATAGGACACTCCAAAACACTTGCTCTGTCCTTTCAGCTCTTGAGCATCCAAACTTTGTCAACAGACTGGGGTTTGACCAAGCTCGCAGCTGAACAGAGCGTTCCCTGTGTGCTTCCCTAAGTGACAGATAGCAAGATTAACAGGTATTTGGGGAATGCTGTACAAGAGAGAGAGAATTTACCTGATTATAAACATGCAAGCCAATGGATTGTTTTTTATGTCTCTGGTTTTGAGATTCATTGCATTTTACTTCTCCTAAAACCATAAACAGTCCCAAGCATTGTTTATCTTATAGCTCTTCTATCGTATTAGGAAAGTGTAAGGGGGGTGTGGGGGTGTGTGTGTCTGCACGGGCACACGCGCACATGCACCTGTTTGGCTCCTCTTACAGACCCTAGTTAGGAAGGCGAACCTGTGCTTTCCTCTGTCTCATCTCATTGGAATTCTAGTGCTTGTGATTTTATTCCCCGACCTGATTTACCACTCAGATTTGGCCTGTAAAAGATGCCTGGCAGGAATCTACATTTTCTAAAACTATTGGTTTAGATTTATACCAGCAAGGGAGACATCAACACATTTAGTAGGAAGCATTTTATTCTGAAAAATTGTGTCAGCAATTGCAAACTGATGAACTTTAGCTTGCCTTTATGATGTCTTGCATTAGAGAATCTGCTTAAAATGCACCTTCAGATTGCTCAGGCATAGGTCTTGCCCATCATTTTTCTCACTCTTCCCAGGGTCCAAGTGAAAGGCCAGGATGGAGATTCTTAACCGTGGATGGGCCTCAGATGTTCCATGATCCCCCAGAAAATACACAGAATGCCAAAAGTCCATACGTTTTTATAGAATGTGAATTTTTTCCCCTATCTGTAATTGAATTCTCAGAGTTGTCCAAGACCCAGCAAAGTTTAACTGCTGGTCTAGAATGAAGGAATCTAAAAGACATTTATGCCCAATTTAAAATGTGTCAGGTCCGTGTTAGTTGCCTAAATTTGGGGGCCTTTTACATAATCCTCTAAGAAAGTCTTCACAGCATGGTTTGCTCGGCCTTTTAACCCCTTCCTCCATGAAGCAGCTGAGCCACCCTGAAGGGTTGGCTGGCTGTCATGCCCATGAAAATTGTAGTACTGGGATAATTTGTGGCTCTCAGTGATTAGGAGAGGAAGAAATTAAAAATAATTCAAAATTCTTTAATACTATATTTCACTGTAAGATTCTTTGAGCGTTAAATATTTTTAAACCAACTCCCTATCTGTAAGTGTTTTTATCAAAGTAAAACCCTGACCTTGTTACAAATCAAACAGTACCTAGAGGCTTATAATTAGGGTGCTTATTGTCCTAGTTTGCCCAAGAGAGTCCCAGTTGACGTCTGTCGCCTCGGCATAGTCATTAAGAATACCTCCTTTGACTCAGAAGTGCTTTGGTTTGAGCGGTAAATTACATGCTTACCCTGCTTATTATGAAACAGAGTTCCCTCGTCCACCTCTCCCCATTCCTTCTTCTCCGTATTCAAAGACCATTTATTTCGGTAGCTAAATTCCGTATTTCTAAATGGTGTATTATTCCCACACATCAATTTTTGACACCTGCCTTGCTTCCTGTCATTAGAGATACGGATTTACCTTACAGCCTGCCTCCCATTCCACCCTACCACCTTCCTGAAACAAACACAACCCCCTTCCCTCACCCTCATTCTCTGCTATTCCCAGATCCTCAGCCTGCCACATTCTGTTTCTTCTGAGGATAAACATTTGCCTTGTTCCTGGGCAGTGGATGCCTAGCATTTTATGTACGGGAATCAGGCTGAGGAGACAGATAACCTTCTAGAAAATAGAGATGTTGATTCAGTGCCCTTGTTTCCTACCCCATATCTCACTTCTCCTTTGTAGCACCTGCCATTTCCAGGTTCCATATCTCTTTGGGGCCCTGCAGGGCAAAACAGCTTCTTCCCCCATACCAAAGTAGCCACCGCACCTCCTGCCTCCTGCCCTCTTTAGATGTTATTAACATTTCTTGTGTGCTACAATCTCTGTCTTTGAGGGTTTTTATCTTTTCATTCCATTTCTGTAATTTTAGAGGGCTGTCCAAAAGGAGAGATGATTGACCACCATTAGCCAAAATTGTTTTTCTGTTAAATTGAAAAGTTAAGGTTTTGGGTTTTTTAGTTTAGTTTTGTTTTTTTAGAATTTTATTAAGTAATCTCTACACCCAACGTGGAGCTCAAACTCACAATCCCGAGATCAAGAGTCCCATGCTCTAATGGCTCAGCCCGCCAGGCGCCCCAAGTTAGGCTTTTTTTTTTTTTTAAACCAGAAGGAAGAAAACCAAGATGTTTTCATTTTTCTTGAATGAAAACATTTTGGGTTTCATGTCCCAAAAACTTTTCCTCTCTCCATACAAGAAGATTGTTAATGTAGAGAAACGCTGAGAAATGGTCATTGGGAGGACAGTGCTCTGCCCTAGAGGTCTGGGCCAAGGTATCTGGGAAGCAGGGGCAGAAGCTGCTAAAAAAGCCCTGGTCTTTCAGCATCTTGTGCAGTATTTATAGATGGGATTATGTGGGAAATGTTCCTTTAAATGTGGACAGTATTAGCCTTCAAATTGGGCTTAACCCTTTGGTGCCAGGATAAGTGGATTGGGGTGGCAGATGAGTTAAAAGGCCTTCTGAAAAAATCTCCACCTAGGATCCCAAGTGTTGAGGCTTTTTACGTGCAGGCTGAGCTCAAGAGTCTCTACCTGTCAGCTAACTCTACACAAAATGCGTATTGCTGACTGAGCGGGGCACAGAGATTTGAGCTTGGGAGGAGGATCTCGGTTCTGTCTTGCTGCATCCCCTCCCCCCAACCCCTAGTCTGAGCAAAAGGCCTGCGGTTGCTGGACCTATTAATTCTCGGAAACCTTCTCAATCCCTAGAGCTCATTAGTTGCCCTCCTCTGCTTACTTGCCATTTTGTATCTCCTCCAATAAAGCATTGATCTTACTGTTTTCTGGCACGTAGCTTGCATATCTTTCACCCTGCTAGATAATGTGATCCTGGATGGCCCTGACTAGGGTGGGTGGATTGATCTCTGGAACTATCTTAGGTGCTTAGATAGGTGCTTAGTATTTAGTTGTGTTGTATTATAAGTGTGTTTTCTTGATATTTGGAATTTTTGTTTCTTTAATTCTTTTAAAGGTGATCCTGGACCTTGAGGAAGAAAGGCAGAGGCATGCGCAAGACACAGCTGAAGGAGATGACGTCACCTACATGCTGGAGAAAGAGAGAGAGCGGCTGACTCAGCAGGTAGTGACGGTGCTCACAGCACCACGTGGGAGAAGTAGCATTTCTCACACATTGTTCTGCAGGGTGTAAATTAGTGTTACTCAGAAACAAAGGGCTTTGTGGTCACATAAATCTGGGAATTACTGGATTAAACAAAGTTAAATAGGTTTCTAATTTCTTAGACCTTTTAGTACAGAAAAGTGCATTGTGAGTCTTCAGAATAAGATGGTATTCTGAGGTTAGCAAATCTATATTCATAGACTCTTTTTTTTTTTTCATAACTCACTCACTGTGGGACTGTCATCATGTAGAACATACTTTGGGAACACTAGCTTTGAACTCACTTAGGAATCCAGAAACAAATACATCACAACCCAGCGTACAGACATACACAAACACATGCCTGAAACAGAAATCCCGTGAAATTATATATAACCCTTACTGCCATTCATTTTCTTAAAACTTTGATCGTGACTCATGAGACTGGTTTCCTCCACCACTGAGTCTCGTTAATGAGTTTGAAAAACATTGACTAATAGGGTTCCATCAACGCTCTCTCTCTCTCTTGCTCAGAGTTTCTGTGCCTTAAATAGGGTGGAAATAATAATTAAACTAGACTGCATTTGTGTAAAAAGTACAGTTTATTTATTTATTTAAATAAATTAACATATAATTATTAGTTTCAGAGGTAGAGGTCCATGATTCATCCGTCTTACAACACCCAGTGCTCCTCACATCACATGTCCCCCCCCCCCAGCCCCCTCCAGCAACCCTCAGTTTGTTTCATTTGGTTAAGAGTCTTTTATGGTTTGTCTCCCTCTCTGGTTTCATCTTGTTTTACGTTTTACCTCAAAAGTACAGTTTAAATGCAACTATGTGTTTGTTTTTAAGACCAGAAAGAATGATGACCAAAACTTGAAAAGTTTTATTTTCATCACCTAGGCTGATGAGAGCCCTATATCATATACCTGAAACTCCTGGAACACCGCATCAACTCTGCTGGAGTTAAATAAGATGCATAGTTTTGTCTTCCTCAGTATTCATCCACAAAACCCTATGTGTGTGGCTTTGTGTTATCAGTCCTGACCGGTTCCGATCTTCTGTCCCCACCCCCCCACCCCTGTCCCCGCAGACCTAAAACACAAACGATGGTCCAGATTCCCGCCGCTAACAACATCCTAAATCACCAGAGTAAGAGTAGACCCTAGTGTGTACCCCCAGGTGGCAGGCGTTCTGGTGCCTCAGAAGCACTTGAGCTGAGCACATGGCCACGAGGCCTCCGTGCATCAGATGAGAGCCAACCGGGACGCCCCAACTGACAATAGTTTTGCGACCGAGTTCTTTGTTGTCTTGTCCTAATCAAGCTGTCCGGTGGCCTTCTTTTCTAGTTGGAATTTGAGAAGTCCCAAGTGAAAAAGTTTGAGAAGGAGCAGAAGAAGCTGTCCAGTCAGCTGGAGGAGGAGCGTTCCCGCCACAAGCAGCTCTCGTCCATGCTGGTGCTCGAGTGCAAGAAAGCCACCAGCAAGGCAGCCGAGGAGGGCCAGAAGGCGGGCGAGCTGAGCCTGAAACTGGAGAAGGAGAAGAGCCGGGTGAGTAAACTGGAGGAAGAGCTGGCGGCTGAGAGGAAGCGAGGCTTACAGACGGAGGCCCAGGTGGAGAAGCAGCTGTCCGAGTTCGACATCGAGCGAGAGCAACTGCGAGCAAAACTGAACCGAGAAGAGAACCGCACCAGAACCCTGAAGGAAGAGATGGAGAGTTTGAAGAAGATAGTGCAGGATCTGGAGGCTTCTCACCAGCACAGCAGCCCTCCTGAGCAAGCGAAGAAGCCGGTGACCATGTCTAAAGGCACGGTGACCGAGCCTCCTGTGCTGGTGTCTGTGTTCTGCCAAACCGAAAGTCCGCAGGCAGAAAGAACCCAGGGGAGCAGCGCAGCCAAGGGGACAGCCACTGGGCTGCCTGGTCCCGCCACTCCTACTTACGCGTATGCAAAAGCCAATGGCCATTTTGAGCCCGAGATGCAGACTGCCCGGGAGCCAGGGGCAGGCAGCAGTGTAGAAAACCAAGTGCCTCCACGAGAGAGATCTGTGGGGTCTCTGGGGTCGGCCCAAGAGAAAGCAGTGGAGAATGGCGGGTGTCCTGTGGGAATCGAGACTCCTGGCCCAGCACCTGGTCACCTCCCATCCAGTGGGGGCTCGCTGTCTCCCAGCAGCACGGCCTCCTCCTCCCTCACGTCCTCTCCTTGCTCCTCCCCAGTGCTAACTAAGCGCCTGCTGGGGTCATCAGCCAGCAGCCCCGGCTACCAGTCATCCTACCAAGTAGGGATCAACCAGCGGTTCCATGCAGCCCGGCACAAATTTCAGTCTCAAGCAGATCAGGACCAACAGGCCAGTGGTGTGCAGAGCCCCCCATCCAGGGACCTGTCTCCCACCCTCATAGATAACTCTGCAGCCAAGCAGCTGGCCCGCAACACCGTCACTCAGGTGCTCTCCAGATTCACCAGCCAGCAAGGGCCGATCAAGCCTGTCTCCCCCAACAGCTCTCCCTTCGGCACAGACTATCGGAATCTGGCCAATACCGCCAGCCCAAGAGGCGACGCCAGCCATTCCCCGACTCCAGGGAAAGTGTCCAGTCCGCTGAGCCCTCTGTCTCCAGGGATCAAGTCCCCCACCATCCCCAGAGCTGAGAGAGGAAACCCTCCACCCATCCCGCCCAAAAAACCTGGCCTCACCCCTTCTCCATCCACTACCACTCCACTGACCAAAACTCATTCCCAGGCCTCCTCTTTGGCCACCACAGAAGACCTAGCCGTCAGCTGCTCTTCCCCGGCTGTTGTAGCTAATGGCAAGGACGTGGAGATACTCCTGCCCACCAGCAGCTAGTCCCTCTCAGGAGTCTCCACGGCTGACATTCCACCGGATTTCGTCCAAGAGCTCAGAGTCCAACCGTTGAGTCAGATCATGTTATTTATTTTGATAGTAGCTGGAACCATCTGTAGAGTCCATTTAGTGTTTTTCGCCATTTTGTATTTTTTTAAGTAGAAATTGAGTCCTTCAGATTTTTATGCCTTTGTACTAAAGCTAGAAGGGCACCTCAAAGACGTCTCAAGCTGAGCAGTCACCGTCTCATTGTGATGGAGAAGGCTAACTGAGGACCAGCTGGTGATTTGCTGTCTATTTGGGGACTGGAATCACTCAACACTCACGGTGAATTATGCAGAAGTGGTTTGCGCAGATTTTTATTCCAGATGAACATGTTTCAAAAGTGCCTGAAATAAGACCGCCACATGAATGTGATTCTGCTGCGAAAACACAGAGTGGGTCATTTAATTACAGAAAATGAGATCCTCCATGAATCCTGAATGTTAAAAACCAACACTGCTTTTAATCCTCTTTTACTGTTTTTAATATAAGCTTTGTGTTCAGAAACCAGGCTGCATCAGTAGAACGGGAATTGGAAAAAGGTGGATGTGACCTCGCCACCAAGCCGAGCTTTCTAGAGCCCTTGAGAATCCCTCCTGAGCAGGAAGCAGCTGGGGTGCTGATTTTTCTCATACTTCTGAAAAATTAAGTCACTTGCAGTGTCCTGCAGCAGTTCTTGAATAGAATGAAATCACCTCTCCCTTCAAAAAATGTCTTCAGGCATCTACTGTTGTGTAAGGAACTTCTGATTCCGATTACTATTACTTGAATAGGAAATGGTTACTTGTTCTGTATAAAAAAAAAAAAAAAAGGTTTGCAACAGAATGAGATCTTTATTATGTAATCAAAGAGCAATAACTTAAAATTCATTGTCTTTGTAATATTATGTCAGAATTATACAGGTTTTACCAAATTGTTACACTTACTCTTGGAGCTGCCAGCACTTGGTGTCTGTATCTGTGGAACCAAATTAACTTTTCCCTAAATGGAAGTATACATAGATCTGTATAGCTACACAGCCTTTTACGTGTCTGACATACACACTCTTAAACACATAAATATTAGTGTGATTATATCTTTGGAGTTTGCAATATAGCATAAAGGGCGAGTAGAAATGCACATTAAGATTACCTAACAGAGCAACTCGATGTGCCTGGGACCCAATCGGTCAAAGGAGGAGTCTTGTCCACAGGGATGGGGGCGGACAGGGTGGGAGGGAGTTCCAGATGAAGTCAGGTCTTCAGCACCCTAAAACACCAGAGCCAAACTGACCCGTAGCACAGAACTCAACTGGCCATATGAAAAGAGTGAAACAGGTCACTTGATCAAGTGCTGTAAGTCAGCTGGGGCAGGGGAAGCTGTAGCTAACGGAACTGCCCGAGCCCCCTCTGAAAGGCAAGAGCCAGCTGCTTGTTGCCATGCAACAGTGCTAGACCAGGGTTACCAGCTCCTCAAATTTTTGTGAAATCCAAATTTGCAGAGAAACAGTCTCACTTTTAAATATCAAAACAGACTCAAACACAATTTGAAACTGCTGGTTAAACACTTCTGCAGCTGGGTTTAGCTCACAGGCTGCCAAGCTGCAACCTCTTTCATTCTAGAAACTTCTGTCATTGCCATCATTGTGAGTTTGTGAGGACAGACACCTCCCCTCTTTCCAGCGTGTAGTCTAGTACAGCTGACAGTGGCCATAGAATATAATGACGATCTCCGCCCCACAATCAGGACTGCAGCCCAGCTCGGACAAGGTGGTTATAGGACTTTGTGGCCACAGTGATGGAGAGGCCTTGGTGTCCTCGCATACTTTCTCCCTAGCCAACATCTACCCAGCAGCCCTGCCCTCCTGCTGTAATTTAAGTCTATTTCCTCTTAATCCAATATGAATTGATGGGGGACCGGCCAGTGATGAAAATCAATGTATAAATCACAATTGGTGTCTCCAGGGCTTATGGTTTGATTAAGGCCAATACATCAAAAATTAAAATGCTCCTTGTGCCCCAGGGTGTCTACCAAGTGATGAACGGGGTATCTTTTAAGCTGCCCAAAGCAATCATGCGTTAAACTTCATTCCCATGTGCGGCCAAATAAAGTGATAAAATAGTTGAACTTCCTGAACAGGAGAGGGGCTACAGTCCCAGAGTGTTATTACCTCTCTTGCTTTAAATGGTAATCTTAAAAGTTGCATTGTGCTCTTCCTTTGTTTCGGCATAGATATATATATAGAGAGAGATACTATAAGGAAGTTTATTTCTTAGGAAGTGCACTGAATAATGTATTTCTTTTACAGTGTAATATGGGGGTGGGGAAATGCAAAAGAAATGTGTATTTTTGCTAGTTGCCTATCTTCTAAGATAAATAAGCACAATACTGCAATGGATCCAGTAATCCAGCTAGGTCTTAGAGATTAGTATTTAAGTTTGCTGTAGATCGTGTGTGTGTGCTAAGTAAAAGTTCCATGACTCACAATTTTGGTACTAACCCACGTTGTGGACGCTAGATGACTAGTCAGCAGATGCTAATGGATGTGCCGCGCATACCACAAGCATTAACTCGTCGTTCTCATTTGTAAAGCCAAGTGTACCATGCAGAAGTCTTCATCCATTTTTATAGCAGACTACATTAAAACAAGTTAAATCATACTGTCTGGGGAAATCTAGTCTTGTTTGTACAAAGTGAAGGATGTTGCACAACTGGGCCTGTTTTGTCGGGGAAGGAGCAGGTGGTGTGCAGGGAGCGCGTGCCTGGGGCTTTCGAAAACCAAGCGAAGTCCGTGACCCGTTCAGGTTAGACTCCAAAAGGAGCCAGGCTCTTGGTTTTCTTGAGAACCTTGGAGCTGCAAGAAGGCTTTGCGATGATCCAGCCTATAATTTTTAAGCCCTGGGGGGTTTAAAGGGGTTCTGGACCTTCTGAGAATCTAAGACTACCTCCCCCGAAAAATGGATATACTGACAGGCAGAATGTGGTTGATGGCTTCCCAAGATCCAAAGACCTTGAAGCCATCCATGATTCATGTACTCGAGCTAAAGAATGCCTGATCTTGCCCTGCCTGCGCGTTTTACAAGTGACTAATGTATCCCTTATCTCCTAGTCCAGTGCTGTGGCGCTACCCTGCTGTAGGCAGACAGAAGCACCTGAAAAATCCTTTGATGTACAAAAGACCTGGAGACAGTGTGGATGTTTACATATGTTAAGTTTCCACCATTTAAGGCAATTAATGATACACTGGGTGTATCTGTTTTCCTGTAAGAGCCTCACTGCCAGCTGTGCTGCCTTGTCTTCCCGGTGAGGGTCCCTCGTGCCTGGCGTGGAGTCTCTGCGCCCAGAGTGTCCCTCCCTCCCACGGATAGTCCCGCAGGTCTCTTTGCCTCCAGACCATGTCACCGCCCTTCCTACCCTCTTGGGTGTGGCCTCTTCTGGAGAATGTTCTACCAGTCTTTGGGTCGTTTTCTGGGTCATTTCTACCACTGTGGGGGTGATCTAGGTATGTCTGTGGGCCAAAGAGCCTAGGATCCTTCTGCTCTGCCATCTTCCCGGAAGGAGCAATACTGCCTTGTCAATTAATTTATAAAGTGCTCTTCTGATGCTTGGTCCTCCCAACAGAACTTCAAATGTCTTGAAATGCTGGCTTCAAAATAGTATCTGTTCTCAAGATCATGAGTCCGAAGTAGGTAATGAGCACAGTTCCACGGGAGTCATTTTAATTTCATTGCTGTAAAACCAGATGAGGAAACTTGAGAGCACCCAGCTCCTAGGGTACCAATGGCCAGTTCATTGGTAAAAGCAGAGGAGGAGAAAGGAGACCTCTCAAACTTTCCTGTAACCTGGGAACCCTTCCAAAATAAGGCCTCCTGAGGACTGGGCCTGTGGTCGGCTGATGCAGGTGGGCGGAGGCTCACATTTTGAAAGACAGCGCCTCACAGCCCTTACCTTGTTCTTTCTCAAGAACTTGGTCTTCGCCTCTGACCTGCGGAGATGTCTCAGACTCTTGAAGCCGGTTTGCTGGAACGTCAATGATAGACAACTGAATGGGAAAAGCACTATGGTAGCACACAGGGCTCTTGGTGGGCAGGAAAAAGTTCCTAGAAAGGAGCAAATGTCTTTTCTCCTCCTTCCAAAGCATTCTTCCCCTGGGGTTCTGCAGTATCTCCCTGTGTTTGCATTATGTCTCGGCTGGCTTGTCCTAGTCTTCAGCTGTGGTCAGAGACAGCCGCTCCGGAAATCCCCAAGAACGCAGTGCTGTTTCAGGGAGACTGACAGACACCCATGTGAAGTGCTCTTTGTGAGGGCTTGGGCTGGTGGAAGGAGCTCCCAGGGCACAGCACTCTGCTAAACATTCCCCAACAACTTGTACGGAAGACCCAGGAAAAGGCAAATAGAGAAAGGACCGTCTTGCGAAAATACCGCATTCCCCTTAAGTGTTCCTCCTACCCTCAAAATCTCCATAAGCAAAAGAGAAAAATGAACATCAAGCTTTGAAAAGAGGCAGACAAGTCCTGGGACACTCGTGAGTGGCTTACTGCCTTGGAGGGGAATAAAAGCAGCTTCTTGTCTTCTCGTAGTGTGACTGTGCTGCCGTTAGATTGGCAAGCATAGGGTGTTGTGTGGCTCTCCTTAGCGACTGGGAAGTGGAAATGGGAAATTCCTGGGAAGCGTTGAAACAAGACTGGCCTTATCCCTAGGGAGTCAATCACCTAGTTAATTTGACAGGAGTCCAACGGACTAACTCCACATGGTAGATACTCGGGTCCCCTCAGAAATGAAGGATTTAGGGGCATGTCAGGGGCTGAGTCAATTAAGCATCTGCCTTTGGCTCAGATCATGATCTCAGGGTCCTGAGATCAAGAGCCACGTTGGCAGGGGAGGGGGTGTTCCCTGCTCAGTAGGGAGTCTGCTTCTCCCTCTCTCTCTGCCCCTCCTTCCACTCCTGCTCTCTCAAACAAACAAAATCTTAAGAAAACAAAAAGGTTTTATTTTGCGAGCTGCTGGAAGGGCTGACAGTAACAGCCCAAAGCTACCCACCACTTCTAGGAATTGCCTGAACTGAAAGTAATTAACTTGACCAAGGTCACCTCTCCTTCAAGGGGCAGTTCATGTCCAAAGACTGATTGTGTGCAGTATAAAGACTTGGCCCTGGGGCTCCTGGGCGGCTCAGTTGGTTAGGCATCTGCCTTCAGCTCAGGTCCTGATGTCAGGGTCCTGGGATGGAGCCCCACATCCTGCTGTCAGCTCAGTGGGGAGCCTGCTTCTCCCTCCCTCTGCTCCTCACCCTCCACACCCCCATCCCTGCTCCTGCTCGCTCGCTCGCTCTCTCGCTCTCTCTCTCAAATAAATTTTTTAAAAACCTGGCCTCCTGTCCCAAATCAAGAGAACTCTGAAGAGTCATGCCCTGCTTCAAAACCCCTGTAGGGTTGGCTGAGCCGTCTGTTGGGACGGCTTCCTCCGTTTTTCCTCCCCTCTGTCCCTTCTTATGGACGCCAAGGGTACACCCCTGGTTGGTCTCTTGATTCCCAGTCTCCATCTCACACTCTGTTCCTTTGGGTCATGATTAAGTCCTCTCAAGGAGGGCAGGCACATTTTCTGAGTATTTATTTGGTGCCAGGGTATCCTCCATGTTATTTAATTCAATCAACACAACTACTAAATGAAGCAGTGAATCTTTCTTGCCCCACAAGGTAATGAAGGCCGCCTGAAGCCCGGTAAGTTGCCTGCAGTCCTGCAGCAGAGCAGGGCTGCAAGCTGGTGGCACAGCTGGGATTCAAACCTTCACCCGTTTGGACTTCAAATCCACT